AGGTTTTGACCCATGGAGCATGAAGAATATGGAAAGACATTAGTTACATGGTGTAACCCTAATAGCCACAATATATAAGGACCCCATGGCTCAAGAAATTGGCACTAGTGTGTGTACACATGAGGGCTAGCCGATTTGAGCATATGAACCTTTTCTATCAAGTTATTCCAAGATGTTGGTGATGTTGTGTGAACCATTTGAGGTGTCACATTTGAGGCACTAGGCTCTTAAGCTCCATGGAATCAAGCTACAACAAAGAGGTATGCGATTCTACTAGAATATATATTATATGTACTTCATATTATGCTAGTTAGAACAATACCTTGGAATATCATCTATTTGCATGTATAATAGAGAAAACATAGATCCAAGGTTTATAGGGTTGCATGTTCACCATAGGAGTGTTAGAATGCTCAAAACCCTTCAGAAAGACCCTCTCGGGACCACCTGTGAGAAACGGTATGTTTTCCCAATAAATATATTTAAAGGCTTTAGCCAATAATTATAAATTACTCTCTCGTCTGAACGATCATCAGTCTTGGAACTTGTTCCTCCAAAGAGGCCTTCTTCCCTACCAAAAGATCATAACGACCATCAAACGCACACTTTTCTCCCTCCAACTCCAGTAACCTTGCATTCAATTCATCCCACCCAGCCCTAATCAAAACAAGCTCACCGAACTCGAGCTACTCCGACGAAGGCAAAGAGCAGCCGTCACCATGTATGAACCAACCTGAGCAGATGCATATAAAAGACTGTTTGAAATATATAAGTTATAAAGAAGCTCCAAAGCCTCGATGGTGGTAGCGGAAAAGCATGGCAACCCAGTCATACGCCACCGTGTGCTGCTTGAGGTGAGATTCCCAGGTGATCCCTCATTCTGGTACATATATGGTTGGCACTGTTGGAGGAACAGAAGCAGAATCCCTAGTAGCACCCTCTATAGTCAGAAGCAGGACTGATGAGTTTGGAGAATCTTCATGAGCAACTCTTGAGTCAATATCAAAAACACTTTCACCAAAATAAATAGGTTCCTCTGGCTCTTCTTTGGTTCACGGGGCAGTTCCGTCGCCCCTTCTATCACCCCCTCCGACTATTTCGAAGCGTCATCATCGGGGATATCCACTACCATGGTAGACTTCCCCAAAAGGAAGTCCACATTACACCTCTTGAAGAGGCATCATCCTGAGAATCTAGTCTTGGTAGATTCCGCCTACGGTGAACCCAACCAGGAAAGTCGTTGCTTGGAGACCACACAGTCGAGGCCTCCTCCTCCGTGTCAGAAGGCAATGGGTCTTCATAAGAAATACCGCCGATAGGAGCATCGATCGACATTGGGTCAACTCGAGGATCAGGCATCAAACCCAAAGTAGTAATCGGCCCAAAGAGATCCAATGCACAGTCGATGCTAACTGGCGGCAAAAGCTCTTCCACCAACAGCACCTACCAATGAAGATAGATACCCTGAAAATGACCTCTCAAAACCATCTCGAATGGAATGATCCTCTCACGACCTAACAGCAAAACAAGAAGATCAAGCACACAAAAAAGGGGGCATGCCACACTACAAAACACAAACGCAACCGAAGGAAAGCAAAACAAAATTGGAGGAAGGGAGAAGCACTTACCATCCTTCATAACAAAAAATGGAGGCATCATTCCTCGAGATCTCCAAGCTCCATCATACCCACTGCGGCTAGCATACGGTCCTCCCATTCATCCCCATTGAAGGAGATGCTCTTTAAAGCGTTGGCAACCTGTTCACTATCCCCCCAAAGATTAGGAATCCGACCAGAAAAGCTAGATCTACAGGGTTAACCGTAACTGACTAAATCCCGATTCACCCAGAGCTACCTGTCATGCCAATTCTTCTTTGGCGCCTTCTAGTTCATGGTGAAATCATGAAAACCTTTGCGCTGAGAAAACATGTGAATACTAGATTGAGGCGATGAATTGAAGAAGTACTTGAAACCCCATATTCGGGGAAGCACACCCAGAGCCTGACATGCCATCTCAAAGCCAAGTATTTTGTTAACCGTGTTGGGGGTAAGTTCATCGACGGTGAAACCATAGTAACATATGATCTCGTCAAAAAGGTCGGTCGTTGGCAACTGGAGCCCTGCCTCGAAGATGGGAATAGGAATCCCGACCTTACCTTATGGTGGTCAGGAGATGATGACTCCCCTATGTGGAAAATCGACCCTATGATCGGGGAGGAAACCAAATCGCTCCTACAGCCTCGAAAACTCTTCAGAAGATGGAGCGACACTCGTGTTTAGAGATGTCATGGTGTGGTAACAAAGGGGAAATTCAGACGAGGAAGAAGAAATACAGAATAGGCGGAAAAAAAGAAATATTGGAGGAAAGAAGAAGAAAAGGAAAAACGAAAGCTGATCGGATAAAAAAGGTTTTAAATGGAGGAGGGAAACAAGAAAAATTACTATGATGTAACCACCGACTCAAACAATTCCATAACGTCAACAGGAAGCAGAAACCACTATCGATGAACACATGTCTAGGCCTAAGGCTAGAATGACCTCGTTAGCTTGAGAAAATGTTGACGTCTACTAGCCTAGGGGACCTTTTGACGTATGTCACCCAGAGTAACATCAAAGGATAACGGAGCCGTCAACTTAGTAACGACCCATCAAAAGCCTACTACCCGACAAGAGCCGGGAGCAAACCATTATCCATAAGAACCCACGTTCTAGCACCGAAAATTTGGCCTTAGGATTGGTCCCTTTTTAGGAGAGAAACTCTCATTCCAGATAAGACAAAGGAGTACCAGTTTCCCCAAAGCCACAGGTGTAGTGCTTGGTGATCTGCCAACGAGCAGTTCTGCACCAATAGCAAATAGCTACCTGTTGGGCACAATCTACCAATTGAATGCCACCTCGTCTCGCTATGCCTGAAAAAGTAGAAGATACTGTCGGGGATCTGCTCCCCTGACCATATGTATAAAAATGTCCTTTCTCCCCAAGAGAAGGGAACGAATTTTAATACCCAGTCTCATACTTTACGTAAGAAACCTTTTCTCAAAGGAATTCACTAACTTGACCATCGGAGCTTCGTTCCGGGATCACCTTCCGGACGATGTCTGACGATCTTGTCTTCTTTGTTGTGATTCTCAAGATTATCTTTTTTCACCCTCAAGGAGACGGAGTTAAGTCGAAGACATATCACAACACCAGGCCTGATATTTCTTATATAGTTCAAAATCTTAATCAATTCATGCATAGTCCTAGAATGTCCCATTTAAATGTTTCCTTTTGTGTATTAAGATATTTAAAACAAAGTCTAGGGAAAGGGATAAATACTCTTAGAAATGGTAATCTAAATTTGAATGCTTATGTTGATGCAAACTGAGCTAAGTGTTTGTTATCAAGAAGGTATGTAACCGATTTTTGTATTTATTTTAGGTGCTCTATGATTGCGTGGAAGAGCAAGAAACAAAATATCGTTTCTTGATCTTCCAAGAAATTTGAGTAAAAAGCATTCACTTCAGTTACTTTTATAATAATGATTTTGTTATAAAAATTGCTCTTAATCCAATGTTTTATTAGAAACAAAATATTTTGAAGTAGGTATTCATTTTTTCGTGATAAGGTTTAAAAGAGGTTTAATATTAAGATTCTTTCTGATAAACAATGCCCATATACTTTCACAAAGTCGTTGACTTCTGGTCAACATAATTTTTTTTAATGTTCTAAGTTAGGTCTTTTTGATCATTTTCAAAAATAAATATTTTTTAATATAATGGAAAGTTAAAGGTTTTGACAATTTGAAGATAAAATGACTAAAAGTGCATGTTCTGGAAGTTCAAGGACTACGACTTGTTTCATTGAAATATAAAAAACATGGATCCTTTTTTGGGTTTTGGGTAGGAGTATCGGGAATGATACATGTTTTACACATGTTTGATCTGTGATTATGACTCGTAGTATGTAAAGTGTGTTTCAGGAGAGTATTTGTCATTCTCTCATTATTCGTTTTATATTTCTCTCGCATATTCTCCATAGTTCTTATTAGCGTTTGGTAGGATTTCAATTATTCTTTTGTTTGTCTAAGTCTTAATTGAGTTTTTACTTGTACTTATTTGTTATCGTTCTGTTCTTGATATACCGGTGTGAGTATTGTAGTGAGGTTTGATCTATAAGTTTATGGTTCTTATTTTCATAATAAAGAGAATTGTTAATGTGATGATTTCTGTATGTTTTTCTACAGTTTGGTTATTGATTATCTATATTCGGTTTTCAAGTAATTTAGTTTGAATAATCAAATAAAGATGATTTATTTGGTTAGATTTTGGTTAAAAAAATTATATAAATCGAATAAGTGAGCATATTAATATTTTTATATTTTATATTTATAAGTTCAAATTTTTTTTATAAAATATGATTGAACAATGTATTAAATACAAGCTATTCCCATAGATTCACTTGTGTTCTTTATGTAGATCTTCAAGGTTTTTTTTTTTTTTTTTTTTTTTTTTTTTTTTTTTTTTTTTTTTTTTAAGACATTAAAATGAAGTTACAGCTAAGAATTAAGATGCATGTACTTAAATTTTGTTTTATATTGTCGCCCAGTTTATGGATATCTCATTTAAATGAATCTTACAACGAAAAAGCAAAAGATATGGTGGATCTTGAAAGCAATGACAATGACAAACAAGATGATTTACAAACACGCATGAACATATAGATTTGATATTTCAATTTATATCTTAACTCGTGGACAAGTTTAGGACTTAGTTGTAAAAAAGGTGTAACATTTTTGTCTACTTACATAAGTAAATAACATGAAATCGATTAAAATGATGAGATGCCTTCATTTATAACGTTGAAGGTTCAAGTTCTACTTAAAACATAGATAATTTAAAGAGTGGATTTTAAAAATAAATCGATTATGATTCATTTCTAATAATATCGAATGAAATACCAAAACATAATTAAAGCAGTTAGATAACTAAATTTACTACATAGATGCACACATATTCAATAATGATGAAAAGTGGGTTGCCCTTATTATATTGGTTGGCCTCAAATCTCAAGGATAAAGAGCCTCCATTCCTTTCCACACCCACCACAATTCCCTTCTCACTTCACATGGAGGCCAGAAGTCAAAAGGTCAACACTTCCGTCTTCATCTTCTTCTTCTTCTTCATCCTCTTAGCATCTCACCTCTCACTCGCAGCTCCAACAACTACATGGGTCGGCTCAAAATACCAGATCGAATGCACAATGTGTGCCGCCTGTGACAACCCATGCGACCAACAACCACCACCATCACCGCCGCCGCCGCAACCAGTCTACCCTCCACCGCCTCCACCTCCCACCTCTACCGGCGGCGGCTACTACTACTCTCCACCACCTCCCACATCCGGAACAGGTGGTGGTTACTACTATTCTCCCCCACCACCATCTCGGGGAGTTTACTACTACTACCCACCACCGGCGTCGTACAAGAACTACCCCACTTCAACACCACCGAACCCAATTATGAATTACTACCCGTATTATTATTACAACCCTCCAATGCCTAACTCCTCTGCCGTGTCAATTGCCGGCGCCACCACTATGTTACTAATCAATATCCTTTTCATCTGTTTTTTCAGTTTATAGATTTAATGTACAGATATTGGAGTAATAAAGGTGTCAGATTTCACAGATCTACAAGAAGCTTTAATCTTTGGTGAATACCCGGAATTACCCTTCAATTATTCATCAATTTACAGAGGAACTCTTGGCGGTAGCAGACATCACTGGGAAGTATCTCTTATGCTCTTGGTGAAGTAATCTGGAAATTCTTGATAATTTATGTCCTTTTCTGTAATTTGGAATAATTATTGAGTTCTATATTTAGAAACGAAAATACATTTTAACTCATTTTGCTTGGTTATATATTTATGTATCTATCTTTTTATTAGATATCGTTTCTTGGTTTTTGGGATGTCAATAGACAGATTAACTAATACGATAAACAAGTATTTAAAAAATACACATGAATTATTTCTTGGTTAATGAAGCTTCTTATGGGATTCGATTCAGATGCTATGCTTTAGGGATTGTACTTTGGTAAATACAGTAGACAAAAAAAGCATATATTTGTTGTCAGGAAATAATATATATATATATATATATATATATATATATATATATATATATATATATATATATATATATATATATATATATATAGGTTCATATAAGATAACCTATTTTTATGAGACTACGAAACACAATTCTAGTAACTTATTTTGTAAATAAAAAAAATATTTTTAAAATGCAAAATAATTGAAAATTTTTGAAAAAAAAAAATTTCATATATTATTTTCGTCATTTATATTTTCAACAAAAAATAAAAAAAATACGTTTTTTACATATTCTGGTAGAATATTATAATATTTTATATATTTGACAAATTTAATAGAATATTTAAACATTCTAAAAATAACATTAAAATATTTAGAGTGTATTAATCTATTAGAATATTTAATGTATTTTTCAAACAAACGGTAATTATTTATTTTTTTTTTTTAGGAAATTAAAGTGATGAAAATAATAATTAAAAAAAGAATGTTTGGATTTTTTCTTTTTATTTTGTATTTTAAAATTATTTTTAGATTTGGTCTTACGGTCTTACATAATTAACATGGTCTCAAATGATCCTGAACACATACACACTCAGACATATATATATATATATATATATATATATATATATATATATATATATATATATATATATATATATATATAGAGAGAGAGAGAGAGAGAGAGAGAAGGGTTTAGACCTATTTATTTTTTCCATCTAAACCAACAGCCAATTGATTTTTTTTCATTAAAAGGTCAGATATTTTTCATTTTTTTGATTTAGACCTAAAGCTTTATTTTTTTCAAAATAAACTCAATTTTAATCTATTTCGTATTATTTCATTAATAGAGTCGACAATCAACAAATAACCTGTATGCCCTTAAATCACATGGGCCCTAAACATTGATCACCTAAATTAGTAATCGATTCTAAAATCCTAAGTTATGTTTCGGTTTCGTATTTTTGTAATTGTTGGAATAGTGTTTAAGGCTATAACTATATCCGGTTGTGCATGGTCCTTTTGGGTTGCCTTCACCATAGCAACTTGATGGATGATTTGTTAAAAGAGAGTAAATATTATAAGGAATAATATATGGCTATTTGATTAATATAAGTCATAAATTAATTGGTATTAATTTGGTGACTTAAAGAGATTAATTAAATAAGAGGGTATAAACTGTCAATTGTTTGATAGTTACACTTTAGACTATAAATCCTTATCCTAGATAGGATGGATGATTTCTAGGGCTTGGATAAGCCAAAATCGTCCATAGGGTTATCAAGGAAAGGATATGGATTAACTTAAAGTCTAAGTTATCCAATTAGGGTTAAAGCTGTAATCCTTAAGGAGTCTACAAGTATAAATAGACCCTAGGGGTGAAGGGAATTCAACACACAACCTAAAGCAAGGAACCTCTAGCCGAATTCCTCCCCTCTCCTCTCTCCTAAATCACCTTGCTTGCTATTGGTGTTTGTAAGCCATTAGAGGAGTGACATTTGTGACTCTAGAAGCTCCAAGACAACAAGATCAACAAGGAACTCAAAGGTATGATTCTAGATCTGTTTCATCATTGTTATTTAACCTAATTAGCTATTAGAAGTCTTGGATTCAAAGCATGTTTATTAGAAAGCCTAGATCCGAGCAATAGGGTTTTGCATGCGCACATAGGAAAGTTCTTATGGCTAAAACCCATCAGTAATGTCATATTATGTTCCATGAAATGATTTCTTTTTCAAGCTTAGAAAGGTTGAAATTGAATTTTTCTATGTTAAGGATTAAGATCTTCTATTTATTTTCTGTCCCAAGGCTAAAGGTATATATATATATATATATATATATATATATATATATATATATATATATATATATATATATATATATATATATATATATATATATATATCAGTTTTGAATTGATTTTTTTTAAAATTGTTTTAAAAAACTTGTTTTATCTAGACGAGTTTCAGTTATTATCAATTATGTTTTGTCAGTTTTTCCGAAGTGAATTTGCAATAAAAAAAAATCTGGCTTTTTCGGTTAATAAAATCGGTTCAGTTATAGTAGAAAAATCCGGAAAAATCGGTTTTTAGATATTTATCAAAACCTATTAAAAACCAACAGTTTTAACCTAACAAGTTAGTTTTTTTTTTCCTTCGATTAAAAAAATTGGTTTGAAATGTGCACATCTACCCAAGTTGTTTTCACAAGATTGATTTTGTTTTTAAATGTTGCCTAAAGACAATTTTTACAACGTCTGATGATATGTTTATTTTAACTATACACTACAGACCTTGTGCAAATAGCTTTGGGACAAAATTTCAAAACAAAATAATCTTGTGAAAACAACATTAGGACAGGAGGTAAACAGAGGAACTTCATTTTCAAAATAACAAAAATTTATTTCAACATTTTTTACTAACTTTATGTTTCTAGCTTAAAAAAGAAGTCATTTCATGGGATCCAATAAGGTGTACAACAACAACAATAAGAATACTAGTGAACTAGGGTTTTATAATTAGTTATTCTTTTAGATTATCAATGCTTAGGGGTGGATATAGATTACATGTCGGTAACCAACTTGATTAATGAAATAACAAAAAATATAGGGTCTTTTATGAAGAAAAAAACTTACTTTATTTGTTGGTAACTGGATGGGGGTTGAAAAAATAAGTATTAGTTAAAAGTTCAGTTTTTTTTTTAAAAGGATAAAAAATTAAGTCTAAAAACAAATAAGGAGGTGTTTGGGATTACTTTTTAATGTTAAAAGTCCTTTTTGTATAAGGACTTTTTGATTAATGATTTTTTCCAAAAAAAAAAAAAAAATTAATGTGTCTGTATTGCTTTTAGGTAAAGCCAACTTTTCAGTTAAAAAGTCTCAAAGAGTAGTCTTCTCCCAAGACCCGACTGTTTCGTATGTTTGTTTCTTTGTAAAAGTGAATGTTTTTCCCAAATATGACTATCATTACCAAAATATAGTTTTACATTACCCTTTATGTGAGAAGATCACAATTTGAATGCAATGGAAAACTGTGTATGTAGCGCAGTATTATATGTAGTAATCACTGTTGTAATAACTACCTTAAACCAAAAAGGATTATATAAGGTAAAATGTGATGAGGTTGTTACCATACTAAACCGACTATAACATGACGATGAAAGACGTTGGAAGAAATGACATTTGGCACCCGTAGACTTGCAAGTCCCACTATAGCGAACAACAAGGTGTAGGATAGTTAATCCAGTATAGATCTATACGCAAACTCACGCTCTTTCTCCAAGAGATTTTGGTTACAAAACGTGACACAACAAAATGGTTGTTGTGTCATGAAGTAGTATCTCACATTATGTTATCTTGAATCTTGTTATAGTATACTTGATATAGTAATAGTATTCTATGTATAGTATTCTCTGTTATAGTATTCTCAGTCTAGTATTCTCTGTTATAGTGATAGTGCTCTCCTAAACTATACCTTACTAGTGATTTATGTAGTTGAATGAATGATTGTATACCTTTGCTACCCAAAGGTACTGAACTGATTGATAGTACTTTTATATCTACATATGTATACATAATATATAACTGATATTTAGATGACATTCGGAAAAATAACCGATACCCTAAGGCCACATCCAAACAAGGAAAAGGAAATAAAGCGAGTTATCAGTCCTAAGTCCTTTAAACATTACTTATATAACTACACATATATAGACATGTTTTTGACAATATATAAGTTTAAAAGAAGGTTTGTAATAAATTTGAAGAGTTCAACAATAAATATTAATGACTTGATGTCAGTTTATAAAATGATTTAAAGAAAGTTTGTTTGATAATACAGTTTAAAGTATAAGAAATCCTTTGTTTAAAACACAGTTTGAAGTATATGAAATCCTTTGTTTGAAACACAGTTATAAATCACATGTGATTGATTATATAACTAATATGTTTTATACTTGTATTGCCCCCACCCCCACCCTATAAAATCATTTAAAAGATAAGTTAAGGGGTATGAACTCACCTGTAGTGAGTAACTTGAATGTAAGATCAATAAGGATGCTAAGTGTCAAGTGAAGGCTTGAGCACACACAAATCCTATTTAGCATATAATGACACATATATGTGTCTAATTAGTGATTATAACATTTAATCATGAAATGGAACAACCTTAGGGACTAGGAAACACTTGTAATGAAGTGTTAAACCACATAGGGTTGCATATAAGCGGTGTAGGGCCTCACATTGGAGTTTACGGCCCAAATGGTAAGACTCCCATGAGTTCAAGGCTGATGGGTTTACGGACCTATGAGTTTACGACTGTAAACTCATGGTATTTTGTACCAAAGTATGTGTTAAGGTCTAATGGTCTTCCAAGAAGTGTTCTAGTTCACAAGCTTAGCTCATAGAAGAGTTTAAGGTCAATATGGCACCATTTTAAGGGTTTACGGCCAAGGGATATGATCTTGGCCATAAACACCCTTTTTTCTTGTCAAATGGATGTTTTCTAAGTGCTCTTCAAGTATTTCAAGTAT